AATCTCTTTATGCATCTTTGTAACTGCATATGAAGCATGGCTACATTGCACTATTAAATATGTCTAATTTCTTATCAGTAACAACTTCAGTGGCAAAGAAAATATTCATGTACAAATGTATTCAATATTAAATAAATGACTTGAAAAGATAAACAATCAAGAATTCCTCTTAAATACACTTCTATTTATCAGATGCTGGTGCACAGACAATATTGGCCCAAAGCCACTGCTAGTCCAGAGGAAGTAATTTATAATTAACTTTGTCAGCAGTAAATGACTATTTTTTCCCAGGGCAAGGATTTCTTTGGGTGATATCTTTTATTGGAGCGACTACTGTAGTTAAGATAGTGTTACACTAGCTATACCATTGGCCCAGCAAAGGATGTCACTCTAAGAAATCCTTGCCTTTGTCAATTTCTGGACCATCATGGCTACATCACTGTCACACTACCTATTTTTGCCTGATTCGGTTTCTCTGTTCATCAAACTGGGTTGAAGACAAGTCTTCCCATTCTTATAGAACCTGCTTCAGATGAAACTGGGAGAGAAATCCCACTTAGTCCTACATTCCCAGCCCCAAGATAGTGGTAATCGGCCTCCGGGTGTAAACAGAGGATTTCTTTTTCTTTTTTTTTTTTTTACTTTCTTGCCTGGCTGTTTAGTCCGAGGGCTAGATCCAAAACAAAACAAAACAAAACACCCAACTTGAACACAAACTAGGAGAGAGACAGAATTGAGGTGCCAAATCCAAAAGAGCAATCCAAAAAATCCCTGTTCAACTAAACCTAATCTCAGAAACACTTACACTCACTGAACACCTCTGTGTTGGGTTGTAGAGATCTACCTCTGCATATCTTCAACTAGCTCAGTTGGAGCAGCTCAGGTCCCACCCACTGCCTAAACCAGATCAGAATCCAGGAGCTGGGTTCTTCTCTGCCAACACCCCCAACAGGTCCAGTGCTGTCAGGTGTTCTCAACGAATGTACAAATTAGGAGAGCTGAAATCCGCTTCAGGGTTTAAAACCTACTAGGTATATTGCCCCAAAGAAGAAAGTCCTGTTTATGCAACCTACCGAGATAAGCAAACAGAAATTTCAGAGTGAATTTCATGTGTAAAATACAAAAACTAGGGTTTTTTTGCTAAGGAAAATGAAATATGAACAAGTCACTACAACATCTAATTGGCTGTTATATGATCTGGTAACATAGCTTAAGGGGTCAAATACAAACTAGCTGGGCTACATGCAGTTGGAACCTCAGCGGTCAATGGCTACACTATTATCTGAGCAAGATTTTCTGCTCCATTTTGTTTCTGTATTCAATGTTTGCCAGGCTCCATCTTCTTTTCTAAACTCTTCGCTCTTTAAACTTGGGAAAGGGGATTCTCCATAGAAGGGAAACCTGTAGGTTTGTGTGGTAAAAAGGAGTGACAATTCTGATGGTTGGGGGGGAAACATGTTCCTTTTAAATGTCCCTATTTGCAAACCATAATTGTCATCCCATCCTTTTAAAAGCGAGATGCCTCGGAAGGCACTGCCCACATCACGGATCGCTGCAGGAAGGAAAGGGCTTTCAGAACAGGAAGCTAGGTGTATGATGATTACTATATTTGTATGGTAATTTCAACCCTTGTACACTGTACAATTAATAACAGTAAAAGAGTGCAAAATGCACGATCGCTTCTGAGACAGCTTACTGACACAGCATATACAAACGCCAAGTTGTTCTCCGAGACTTAGCTGACTTTTGGGCTAGCTGTCAGCACTTTCTTATGACTAATTGCCTTGAAATAAAAAAGTGCTTAAATTTGGGAGGGCCCAGTTCTCACTCCTTCACGGCCGTCACAGCGAGCAATAAAAAGCAAAGAACAAGAAAACTTATTTGCATATTTTTTCAGCGTACTAATTTTTCAGCAAACACGTTAATTTTGAGCTTCCAACAGATCATTTCACGTTTAAGGCCTGGCGACGCTGCTACTGTTCCCCCGGGGCCGAGGAAGGTGTTGACCCAGCCCGGGCAGTCCCGAGGCGCGGGAGAAGGCCGCAGCAGCAGCTGCCGAACAAGCCGCCCAAGGGCGAGGTTTGGGAAGCGGGGCGAGCCCAGTCGTGCGGGGGATCGGGGACAGGAACCTCGACCTGGACGGCGACCTCGAGGCCTGGGCTCGGCTCCCACTCAGCCAGCGGC